CGCTAATCATAGCCCAGCTATCCAAGCGTGCGATTGTTTCCTCGGTAAGGATGGCTGACTCACGCGTCCGAAAAGGACCCTCTCAGAGGTAACCCCCGCACCCCCCTCCATCTTTACTTATTTCCTCTCTCAGCAGAAATCCCCTCTCTCTCTCTCTCTCTCTCGTGTAGCTCTCTGCACTCGTCTCACATATCTGTAGGAATCGTGCGTCGTTGCGGCGTTAAATTGCTGGCATTAGAGACGCTGCTCCCCCGCCTCTTTTCCCCTCCGGTTGTTTTTTCTTTCCTTCTCGCAGTGCCGCCCGCGGTGACACGGAGGTCACGTGCGAGGTGGTGGTGTGACGTGGGTGGCCCGCCCCGAGCCCTCGACCTCCGACCCGACCTCTTCACGACCACCAAGTGCATACCTCCAGGAGCTCGACAACCACTTCCCATGGATGAGGATGGTCATTTTCAAGAATCGCCTCCTTCGAGGAGAATGTTGGCGGCGGCAGTTGGGAGCCGCTTCCAGTGCCGACAAGCTAAACTGCCTATCTGCCGCGCCCCACCCCGTCTATAGTGCAGGGCTGGGCGTACGCGCTCCGCCGGTCGCGCCGTTGGCCCGACCACTACCACCACTCAGCCTGCCGTTTCTTATCGGAAACGCCTGGGCTCGGCGGACACGGGCGACAACAGACGGAAAATGTAGCCTGTCCGGCGCAGACAAACAGGATGTGTCCCTAGGACCTCTGCTGGCGCGCTGGCGCGCAGGGACCTAGGCGCGCGGGGGGTACCGAGGGGGCGGGGCGGCCGCGTGCAGGGCGCAGGCCCCACCGCAGGACACGGCCCTTGTCCGGGGCCAGATCTGCGCGTTGGAGAACGGATAGGGTGTTGCCTCCGCGACTGGTATCTGACAGAAACCCGCTCGCCCGTTTCTGGATCCGGCCATTACAGACTTGCGTCGCGCGGGGCAAGGAGGCGGGCCGGCCTAGTCGGGTACGCTCGCCCTCGCGCAGGTACCACTCGCGTGGGCAGTGCGGCGACCAGCCAGGCAGCCAGCCAGGCAGCCAGCCAGCCGAACGGCCAGCCAGGCAGGCGGGACCGCGACGACGTCCGTTCGCGCGAAATGCGGTTATTGTCAGCCGAGCGCAGGAAAATAAATGAGACCTGTCCTGTAGGCTACGTGCTGCTTGGCGTGCAGCTCGCGGTGGCCGCGCGGCGGGGCGGAGCAGGGCGGCACTACAACGGGGCCGCCGACCGCACCCCGGCGCGCAGACCCGCGCGACCTCGCGGCGTGACAAGACACACCTCCCTCCACCGAGTGACCCGAAAATAAAATCAAGGATACAAGCGGTGTCCATCTATTCCAATCGGTGTCATCGATACCCTCAGACTATTCGTTCGAACCCGTCCGTGTCCGCGGCTGCCACGGCCATGGTCGTGGCGGATGCGGACAAGGGATAAGGCCTCCTAGAGCGCCGCCGCAGTGCCCCTGACCCTGCGACACGGCGATGAACGTCGCCGCTGCACCACCGTCCGTCGTCGCCGTGTGGTCGAGCGCGATATCGATTTCTCGGCCGCGCGGTCCAGCGGTCCACACACGACGACAACGCCGCGCCACGCTTTTGCTACACGGGATGCGACTCGCACGGCGCACGCAGCTTTCTCGCGGGGCACGCGGGGGGCGGTGCGGTGCGGTGCGGGGGCATGCCCGTTGTGGGTCGCCTCCGCCGGTGTGTGCCATCCGATACCAGAGGCACCGGTATTGGCAACAGCAGCAGGCCCCGTCCCGTGAGCAAGCGCGTCCCGCGGCCGCCCAATCATGGCCGTCACCGGGGCCGCTAACGAAATGCAGTCTCCTCGCCGACCCGTCCGCGGCCCAGGTCCGCAAGAAAGGTGACGGACACCCGCGCGTCCACCTGCGGCGGCGCATCGCGTATGCGGCCCGCGCGCCGGGGGCACACACACACACAAACCACACACCACCACTTACCGTGAGCGGGTAGTTCTCGGTGACCTGCGTCCGGTACAGCTCTCGCGTGAACTTGGGGCTGAGGTCGTCGCTGTCCAACACCGACACGGAGATCTCGGTCGTCGAGTTGAGCGGCGGCGACCCGCGGTCCTGAAAACAGAGGCGACGCGGGCATAAGCGTCAGGATGTGAGGCAAGGCGCGCGGCGGTGGTGGCCGACGACACGTGTGCAACGAGGCCGTGCAAGTTGCCGCTAGAGTGGCAATAGGGCAGAGTCACAAAAGCAGCAACACGCTGTCACAAAACGAAGGAACGTGAGCAGAGAGACATGTCGTTCAGCTAGAGCGGCTGTAAACAGAAAATGCTAACGACTGTTGTGCAAAAGGTGAAGGGGCGGCATTGAAGAAATGGAGTAAATTTAAAAGGAAAATTAAAAGCAAAACAATTTTTTTAACTACTGTAAAAATGTTTAACTTCTTATTTAGAGAATGAATCAACTCACCGAGGCCATGAGCGTGAGCGTGAACTCTTTGTCGCCCGTGTCGTAGTCAAGCGGCTTGCGGATGACGAGCGCGGCGCGGTGCGCGCTCTCCAGCCCGAACTTGCCCGCCTCGTTGCCGCCCACGATGGAGTACTGCACGTCCGAGTTGGGCGTGTTGGGCTTGTCCCGGTCGACGGCGTGGATGCCGCGGAAGATGGTCAGGCCTGTGTGGTGTGCAGAGAGAAAGGACGCGCGACAGTGTTATAAACTCTAAAGGGGGAATGTGTGTTAGTAGTGGTCGGTTTCTATACGCTGCTGCTGCCAGAGATAAAAGCCGTGGGGTCCGGAGTAGGGTCACCGGGCCCCCAGGTGCGCAGCTGCAGGGGTGCAGGTGCGCAGCCGCACGGTATGGGCCGCCCGATAAGGAGCATGGGCAGGCGTGCGTGTTCCCGCGACTCACACGTGCGCGCGCAGCAGCCGTCAGTCACCGGCAGTCGGAGCGCCTGCCATCGAGCGCGTAGGCAACCCCGCAATGCTCCCGAGCGCGACGGGACGGCCCGCCAGCGCCTGCCTGCCGCTACAGCGAGGCAGAGCCTCATCCAAACTTTCGGGTGGGGTGGGGACCGCCCCGCGGAGCGCCCAGGACAAGGTCACTAAAACATATTGTCCAGGTCGGGTAGGCAACCCAGCAATGGTCCCAAGCGTAACGGGACGGCCCGCGAGCGCCTGCCAGCGGCCGGGTAGGCAACTCCGCAATGCTCTCGTGCCTGACGGGACGGCCCACCAGGCAGGCGGCCTCGGGACCGGGAGCCCCCAGGGGCAGGAGCGTTGCGGTGGGAGACGAACTTTCGTTGTTGAGGCACTTCCCCGTACGGTGATGTAAATATATAACACCTTACTCCCCCCTCCCCCTCCTCCTGCTCCTCTAACGCCCCCAGTTGATGGGCCCTGCCGAGGATGTACCTACCGGAGGGCGTGAGCTCGTCCACGGTGACGTGATAGGGCGCGTCGAGGAACTTGGGGGCGTGGTCGTTGATGTCCTCGACGTACACCGTGACGGAGAGGTACGACGATATCTGCAGAGAGGACAAAGAAGGAAACGTCACCGGCGGGCGGAAGGATGTTTAATGAGTAGTTTTCGGTTCTTCATTGAAACGCGAGGAAGAGAAAGGAGTTGTTGAGTACCTGATGTGCAAAACAAAGAAAAAAAACAGCAACGAAAAGAACAGTACACCGTTGTACACCCTTATACGGCGAAGCACGGCGTCTAAGAAGGAGGTGAAAAAGAATGGTCGTGTACTTACCGTGTCGTCGCCGTCATCGTAGTCACAGACGAGCCGGAACTTGAGCACGTTGTGCGGGGTATCGCTGTCCACGAGGTCCTCCAGGGTCCTGGACAGCACGATAGACACCATGCTGCCGTTCACGTCCCGCACCGCGAAGTAACGCGCATCGTCGGCCTGAGAAACGGACAGCGTGATGATGACTCTGTCAAAGTCGTTCGAGGGCCAACGGAAGCTTCCCGTAGCACGAGTCGTCCGTTCTGACGGATTTATCAGCATAGTAATCTTGTGGAATCTAGTCTAGCGTGTGGATACAACTCATCCGACATCGAAATTAATACACTTGACGTTCAAGGTGCCGGGGGCGGCGTGGAGATCAGATGAGATTGAGACCCAATCAAAGACACAGAGAGCAGACTAGAAAATACATATTCGTACGGCTAACCATGCGATTTTGCTTTTATTAATTTTTCTTTGAGTAATTACATTTCTTTCTTGTCTAATAGGTCAGCCACGGATTTGCCGCGCTGCTGCAGCCACAAGCAGACCCCCCCTTACCTTGTCGACGGGTCGCAGGGACAGGTTCCGCCGGGGGTGCACCTCCACCTGCAGCACCTCCCCGCCGACGGGGACGTTCTCCGGAATGCGCACGAAGCGCAGGTACTCGCCGGCCGGGTAGAACATACATCCTGCGAACAGAAAACGCAACAAACCGTTTCAAATACTTGCTGCCGATCGTCCAACCGTCCGTCCGTTTGGCTCGTGCGCGTTGTGTTGTGCTCGTCGAGCCCCGTTAGGGCACGCGTGCGTGCGCGTGCGTATGCGCGTGCCGAGGCGGGCAACGAGCCCTCCGTTGCGTTCCGCAGGGCTTCACACTGTACTGCTATGAGAGAGGTAATTCGTTTTCCTATAAACGTCCGCAATGGAACTTATTACAGCGAGCCGGCTGCTCCACGTTGCCGCCGGTCGCCGGTGGGCTCGCCGCCACCCCGCTCGCTCCCACGACAGAGTGTCAGACGGAGTGGCGCCCCGGCAGATCTGTCGCGTTGCGCTAACCAGAAAGAGTGGCCCTCTTTAGCGCCCGGTTATCACCAGCATTATGCAAGTACGCTGCACTGCAAAATCAAAATTTCCTCGCTAATTTCAGCCGATCAAAAATTTTAGCGGAGTTCTTCGATGCACCGAATGTTCGCTTTTCTGTGCAGTAATTTTTTATTAATTGGCTGCAGCAATCATTATTGCAAACTGTACTGACAGGATTGAACTGAACTATACATTACAACAAAGTCAAGTTTCAGGTTTAAAAAATGACGAAACAGGTTGCTGCCAACGTTACAGACCCAAATAAGCACCTGATACAGTGCAGTATGCACTGGGCCCCGGAGGACCAGGAACATCCCTGCCGGGCTCACAGCGCGGCCCAGTTCCACTGTCGATGAGGCTCGCCTCGCCGTGTCGCGTGGGACCGCAGCAGCGCGGGGCCGCCGCGCACTTACAACCGATTGCAGCCAAAGACAATCGCCCCGATCCCGATAATCACGGGACTGGGTCAGTGCGACCAAGGCTGCCGCATCATCGGGCAGGTGAGGAAAGGGGGGGGGGGGAGCTGGAGACTCCCACCCGCCAATGTAACTCGCAGCGACTAACTACTTAACCAATGAGCGATGAAATAAAAACGGTAAGTATAATACGGTGCAAGGGAGGATCGAAGCAAAGCACAGTTGAGGGGGGGGGGGGCAGAACGAACCAGACGCGTAAAAAGTGGGTCCTATGGCGTGGCGCGGCCGCTCGACTCATCCCATTGCTTGACAGGAATGCCACCACTCCTCTGCCCGCGGCAGAGGGAATTACCAGTGTCTCGTTGTTGCTTCTGTTGTTGTTGTTGTTGTTGTTTGTTCTGCATTCGCATCACCGCGTCGCGACGCCCCGCTTTTTTTTCGACGGGCCCATCATATTTTCAGCCTTCAGCACCGCCCCACGAGGCCCCGCCTCCGCCCCGCCACGCCCGTTCCGTCGCGACGCCGTGTATTCGGCCCGCAGCAGCGTGAAGCTGGTGCCGCCGCCTCCGCTGCAGCCAGGCGGGTACAAATGGCGAGATCATCAGCTCCCGTCAGCTGCGACACAACTTGCCATTTTTGTTGTTGTTTCCGCGATATAATGTCGCGCAGCGAAGACCCGTGCGAATAAATGGTGGTAATGATTTTCGTGTTGAAGGTTATTGGTACCGGCCGCCATGTATGGGTTCTGGGTTTTTCTTTGCGCTACGTGGTGGAGGTTGGGGGTTGGGACAACCCTGGTGGGGTTAAACCAACCGGGCCCGGCCGCGGCGATTCCGAGCGGTCGTCAGGTCAAGCGTCCGTCGTCCGCCCGTCCGCAGCCGCAGGTGAGTCTGTCAGCTGCTACCTCTGGTCGTGTTCGTGTACCGAGGTGCGAGGCCGTCTCGCGGAACGCGTTGCTCCCCGTCGCCGTGCTCGCCGCCCGCGAGGACACCCGGGGCGCCACCACCGCCTCCACGGTCGTGAACGAGGGCGAGCTCGTCCCCCACAAGAGTACCAGGTACGTACGAGTGCCGGCTTCTGCAGCCGGACAGTGGACTCAAATATTTACGGCGGAGCACTGCGTTGACGTTTTAGCCACTTCTCGCTTCTTTTCACCAGAGACCAACGAGTACCAGAACAAGGATATCACACAGCCGCTACCATGGAGCACGAGCACGTGGGAGACAAGGCGTTCGAGTGTGAAGAGTGCGGCAAGGCGTTCTCGACCCGTACCAACCTGCGCGTTCACCTCCGAACACACACGGGAGGAAAGCCTTTCAAGTGCTCTATCTGCAATCAAAAATTTAGGGCCGGTTCTCACCTCCAAATGCACATTAGAACCCATACGGGAGAGAAGCCTTTTGAGTGTACATTCTGCTACAAGAAGTTTGCGCAGAGAGATACACTGAAAACACATCTGCGATTGCACACAGGAGAGAAGCGTTTTAAGTGTACGTTCTGCGACAAGATATTCGTGACGAGTGGTGGTCTGAAATCACATGTAGTGGTGCACACGGGAGAAAAGCCACACGAGTGCAAAGTTTGTAAAACGAAGTTTGCGCGCAAAAGACAATTGAAAATTCATGAACGCTGCCATACAGGGGAGAAGCCTTTTGAGTGCTCCATCTGCGATAAAAAATTTAGGGTCGGTTCTCATCTCCGAGTGCACGTTAGAACCCATACGGGGGAGAAGCCTTTTGAGTGTACATTCTGCTACAAGAAGTTTGCGCGGGGAGATACACTGAAAACACATCTGCGTTTGCACACAGGGGAGAAGCCTTTTGAATGCAGTCTGTGCGGTAAGAAATTTGGAACGAGTGTAAAATTGCGTCTCCATCTTCGTACCCACACAGGAGAGAAGCCCTTCGAGTGTGCCGAGTGCAACAAGACATTTTCGCGTAGCACTGCTTTGCGTTCACACATCCGTATCCACACAGGAGAGAAGCCCTATCAGTGTAAAGTGTGCAGTAAAGCATTTGCGCAGAGCGCAAATCTGCAATCGCATAGCCGAACTCATACCGGAGAGAAGCCATATGCGTGTACATTATGCGAAAAGAAATTTTCGGGAAGTCAGCATCTGCAAAGGCACCACCGAACTCACACTGGAGAGAAGCCCTTCGAATGCACTGTCTGCGGAAAGAAATTTGGATCCGGTGTCAGCCTTCGACTTCATCTTCGTACCCACACGGGCGAGAAGCCGTTTGAGTGTCCAGTGTGCAGCAAGAAATTTACTCAAAGCAGCAACTTTTACACACATCAGCGAACGCACCCGCTAGAAAAACCGTATAAGTGCATCGAGTGCCGCAAGAAGTTTGCAAGCAGTGGTTCGCTGAGTCTACACCTCCGCACCCACACGGAGGAGCAGCCGTACAAGTGCGCCGAGTGCGGCAAGACATTCGCGGACCCGAGCAACATGATGGCTCACCTTCGAAGGCATTCATTGTTATGGTTATTAGCTGTGGATTGTGGTGCGCTCTGAAAAATGTGTACAGTTTGACATCACTTTTTGGTAGTGTTTGTCGTACGACTAAATTGTATTCTAAATGATTAAACTTATACTTCAACCACACTGTTAAAAATATTTTGTGATTTCCCAACTCTTTCACGATACGAAGCAACTGTGCAATCACAACACTTCTTTCTAGTCAAAAATGATGCATTGTGCTATCTTACTTAGAAATAGTTGTTAACCAATCGTAATAATTTCTGAAGTTATCAATTTTTGACAACAAAGAACAGTTGTGATTTCAAAAAAGAGTTCTGGCAACTATTTTCACACCACATTCTTCGTGAAGTTCTGAATTTTCTTTTTACAGTGCAGCCAGTAAATCCTACGCGTTACGCGTTCTGCTTATATTGAAGTGATGCGCGGG